GGGGCACCTGCGCTCTGCAAGCTGCCGCTAGCCACAGGGCATGGAGCTTCCGAGCACCAGGCAGTCGAAGCCCAGGACTGGGAAACACGATTCCTGAATTCTCCTCCTGGCTGGGCCACAAGCGTGGGAGTGTCTGGCTCACGCCTGGTTTCCAGGGGTGAGAGGCAGCCCGCCCCGCTCCAGAGTCAGTGGGAGAGAGGGGTGCTCAGCGTGGCTGAAAAATCGGGCTGCCCCGTGCCTCAGTTTCCCCATCTGTGGCATGGGGATATTACCTGTCAGAGAGGGGCAGGGGTGGCTTATTCCTCTCCCTCTTCTCCAGCCGCTCCAGAGTCAGTGGGAGAGAGGGGTGCTCAGCGTGGCTGAAAAATCGGGCTGCCCCGTGCCTCAGTTTCCCCATCTGTGGCATGGGGATATTACCTGTCAGAGAGGGGCAGGGGTGGCTTATTCCTCTCCCTCTTCCCCAGCCTGTCCTGGCCCCCCATGGCCTGAGAACGCCTGTCTCTTGGCGCACCAAGGCAGCTGGATCCCTGCTAGCAATCCGAAGAGGTAAGGGGAGGAGCTGCTACGTCGGGCCCTGCTCTGTCGCACTCTCTCCAGGCCTCCTTTACAAAGACAGTCATAAGTCATGGGCTTGTTTAGTTTGGAAAAAAGAAGATTAAGGGGGGACATGATAGCGGTTTTCAAATATCTAAAAGGGTGTCACAAGGAGGAAAGAGAAAATTTGTTCCTCTTGGTTTCTGAGGACAGGACAAGGAGTAATGGGCTTAAAGTGCAGCAGGGGAGGTTTAGATTGGACATTAGGAAAAAATTCCTAACTGTCAGGGTGGTCAAATATTGGAATAAATTGCCAAGGGAGGTGGTGGAATCTCCCTCTCTGGAGATATTGAAGAACAGGTTAGATAGACATCTGTCAGGGATGGTGTAGACGGAGCTTAGTCCTGCCTTGAGGGCGGGGGGCTGGACTTGATGACCTCTCGAGGTCCCTTCCAGTCCTATTATTCTATGATTCTATGATAAGAACATCAGAACGGCCACACTGGGTCAGACCAAAGGGCCATCCAGCCCGGTACCCTGTCTGCCGACCGTGGCCAATGCCAGGGGCCCGAGGGAGTGAACCAAACAAGTAACGATCAAGCCGTCTCTCTCCTGCCATCCATCTCCACCCACCAGAGGCTGGGGACACCATTCCTTACCCACCCTGGCTAAGAGCCATGAATGGACTTAACCTCCATGAATGGATCTAGTTCTCTTTTCAACCCTGGTATAGTTCTAGCCTTCACAGCCTCCTCAGGCAAGGAGTTCCACTGGTACCCAGCCACCTGCCCCAGTCACTGGCACAAAGTCCATCCAATTGCCAGCACTTCACAGGCAGCCTGGGAGGAATGAATGTGTTGGCTTTCAGCCTACTGCCCGGTAGAGAGGTGCCCCATTCACAAAAGCCGCCCTCAGAGTTAGCAGCTCGCTAGCCCCTCAGCACGACGGCACGGGCAGGATGGCGGTGGAGGCTGCGTGCCTCTCTCTTCCAGCTGGGCTGGGCTGCGATATTCCCTGGCTAGGGCTGGGAGCGTCAGGATCCAACACAAATCCCACTGCAGTCAGTGGGACGAGCCCTGTGGGCCCCTCAGGAATGTACCAATGTTCCGTCTAATGTTTTCCAGCCATGTGCGGAATAAATTTTGCCACATGCACCAACGCATGTGTGGGTGTGCACCACCACTAGAAACACTGGCTACTGCCGGGCCTGGGCACCCTGGTACTCAGCTGGGCGGCATTTGAATCTCTTCTGGGCAGCTCCCCAAGAGCTCAGCTGAGGGAACACAGCGTAGGATGGGGGTGGGGAACCTTTTTGGGGTCAGTGGGGGCCGCTGACTCACAGAAAACTCAGTCAGGGGCCGCACACAAGTGAGAACCAAAAAACCGCAAACCTCACTGACGTGGCCCCGACTGAGAAGGAGAAAGGGCCTCCCCACATCCCCTCCCACACCAGACCCTCGGGAGGCCTAGCCTTGCAGATTTTGTCCTCCAGCCCCGTGGCAGGACAGTCTGGAGCGCCAGCAGTGGGGAGCGGGGGTGCTGAACCTTGGGGGCCGGATCCGGGCAAGCCCGTGCCCCCAGCGATTGCCGGCTGCCCCCTCATATAATCATCACACTCCCTCTGGCTCTATGGGCTTCGGCTGGGGCCCAGCAGCCGGGCTGCGAGCCACGTCCCCGCTGAGGATCGCAGCTTTCCAGCACAACGCAAGCAGACCCCACTGCCCCAGGCCCGAAGGGAAGGGGCACTGCCCGTGGCTCTGAGCCTGGGGGTCACCCACGGCCCCCCGCCAGCCACGTGGGACAGGTGTGATGCCTCCCGACCCCTGAGGAGTTGGCTCCACGTCGGCATGGGGCCCTGGGAGAGCCGGGAATGACTGCGATTAACGAGGAACAGGACGGATTCTTTTCCAACTTGCATTCTCCCGCACCCTCAAGGGAGGGGCGTCCCTTTAGCCGCCCTGGGAGCCATATGGGAGCCTGGGAGCCATATGGGAAGGGGTCTGGAACGCAGCCTCCCCGCGGGGCCTGGAAGACAAGAAGAAGGGTGAGGAAGCCTGGCTCCTTGTATTGACTGTAGCTGGGAGAGCCCCGGGATTTAAAGGAGCAGCAAGTCGGCCAAAACCAGTTACTGGGCAGGATGTTTGTTTCGCTCTGTCACCTGTGGCCTGGTTGGACATGGCCCAGGGTGGGGGGGGAGAGTGACTGGCAGGAATTCAGCCCCACTAGGGGAGGGCCTAGCTGAGAAATGTTCCCGTGGAGAGGGGAAGGGAGGAAACCCGTCAGCAAAGAGAACCAGGGGCCCGATGACTCAGCCTGTGAGCACAGAATAACTCAGCTGCTGTCCAGGTTCCTTGTGACCAGGCCTGGGGCTGTTCTGCCGGGGCCTCTGGACTCAGCCTCGGGGCTCCGAGTTTCAGCCCCACTAGGGGAGGGCCTAGCTGAGAAATGTTCCCGTGGAGAGGGGAAGGGAGGAAACCCGTCAGCAAAGAGAACCAGGGGCCCGATGACTCAGCCTGTGAGCACAGAATAACTCAGCTGCTGTCCAGGTTCCTTGTGACCAGGCCTGGGGCTGTTCTGCCGGGGCCTCTGGACTCAGCCTCGGGGCTCCGAGTTGGGAACCTGCCTCCAAGGCGCCGCGGGACTCGCTGGCTGGGGAGGCGAGAGGAGCCTCCCCCCAGCCTGGGGGCAGCGTTCTTCACACCCAGTTCCCGTTCCTCATTTCTGCCCCAGCTCCACTGCAGGCCTCAACCCCCCGACTGCACCGCCAGCCACCCCGCGGGTTACTGACCCACGCTCTGCCCACCCAGTTCCCGTTCCTCATTTCTGCCCCAGATAAACTGCAGGCCTCAACCCCCCGACTGCCCAGCCAGCCACCCCGCGGGTTACTGACCCACGCTCTGTGCCCACGGGTCAGGGCTACCGCCTGGCAAATGTGGCCAGTAGCTGCACTGCAGCTGGGTGTGGGAGGCGGGGGGAAACCGTGCAGGGATGTAACCGCCTGATCCTTGGAGCTGGGGGCCAAAGGGCCAGGAGCAGATGAATAGCTGGGGTGGGGTGGGGTGGGGGTGGGGGGACAGGGCTGCAAACCATCCTGCAACCCCCAGCAAACCTCCCGGCTGCCCCCGGGTTCCAAGCAGAGAAAACGCAGCCGGGGAGCCCGGCCGGGCGCCACGGGGAAATCAAGGACAAAAGCCCCTTTCAGTCCCTGCACAGCTGCTGCCATTGTCCTGCCGATTGCATCAATCAGAGCGAAACCGATGCAAATCCCAGCCACGGTAAACACGGAGGGGGGGGTTGTCAAGGTGCACTTTGCTCCCTGCTGCAACTGGGCCCCTGCCATGGAGGGGGGCAGGGCAGAGCCCCACACTCAGACCCCCGCCCCGGGGGGCTCAGGAAGGGCGCATGCGAGACAGGGACCTCTTCATCCCCGCCCTGCTCCCCGGGCAGGCACTGGCCCCAGGACACCGGGGGCACAATGTGCCCAGCCCCCGCTCTGCCCTCGGGTGGGTGCCTCCAGGGCCAAGCGTGGTTGGAGCTGGAACAAGGAGCCACTAAGCCCCTGCCCCTCTGACCAAGCAGGGGACAAAGGTGAGGGCGGGGGGGGGAGCGAGCACAGGCGCTGGGCCAAATCCGCAGCGGGGGTAAGCCAGCCCGGCGCCGTCCAGTTCAGTGATGCCGCTTTCCAGCAGCCCGGGCTCCAGCCCGTCGGCCCTCCCTGCCACGGCCTTGGCAAAGAGGCGATTTCGCAACAAGGCAAAACCGGGAGCATGGCCCAGAAGGAGGCCTCCGGCCGCCCGGCTCACGCCCCTTCCATGCTCTCAGCCCCAAGGCCGAGGGGCTGGCTGATGGGACGGCTCCAAGCCCCTCCCCGGCACGCCCAGGGCAGTGTCCCGACGGCGGCAGAGGAGAGCGGCCAGAGACGGCTCGGCGAGGGGGATCAGGGAAAGGTAGAGACAGACTCAGTGCTAAGCAAACAGCTGTCGCGTCCGGCTGGGGAGAGTCGGAATGGCAGAGCCAGCGTGCGGGGCCGGGGGCAGGGACCCAGGGCGCACCCCAGCCAGGAGAATACTCCGGGGGGTGCTCAGGAGCCCCCCAATTCCCAGCCGCGCTGAGCACCCACAGCTCCTGCTGCCCTCACAGGGGCGCTGGGTGCTCAGAACCTGCGGGAATGAGGCCACTGCGGGGGCCGTGAGCCAGGGCCCCTAGCCCGGCCGGGGATCCGGGGCCTCGACGCGACCTGCCCTGGGTGAGGGGCGGCCTGAGGACCCATCAAGTGCCCGGTGTCAGGTCAGGACTCACGGCCCCAGGGGCTGCTCAACAGGCCAAGGGAAGCGGTGCCCGGGCCAAGCCCCCTTTGCCCTCCCCCCTAGGCTGGGCTGGGGAGGGGCGGCCTAGAGCCAGGCCTGGGTGCTCCCCAGGGGGTCCCTTGTGCTAGGGGAGTCCCCAGGTGGCGCATCAGAGGAGATTTGCAGCTGGAGGGCCGCTAGTAGCCGCTCTGCCCGGCACGCGCCCCTC